TGCATGTATATACACATCCTCAAATTACTGACTTTATTATTATTTTTACCCAAGACACCTCTGTCCTTCATTGACTTTTAATCCTACCTCGTAACATTTCCAGATGAGATAAACTCAGTCCTTAGAATAGCCTTTCCCGATTGACACTCCTTACGTTTTAAAAGGGATTTGGCACCTCTGAGCCACCAAATCTTCGCCCAGTAAGATCCTGCTGATGGGGCAAGCCCCCTCACAGCATCATCCCTCCACCATGCCCCCTCCTCTTCCTCTGGCATTCCATGGGGACCTGACAAAGGCCAGGGCTCAGAGATGCCCCAGGACGGGTGGGTTTAGGAGTTCACTCGACACGGCATGTGAATTTGCTCACAACAACGCTGCACGAGATGCTCCTCAGTGCACTGTGCGCAGGGAGGATTCAGGGGAGTCCTGACACTGCTCCTGCCTGCTCCCCTCTAAAGCCTCCACACCACCCAGGAAGGTGCATCTGGGTCCCTTTGAGGCATTTTTCTCCTGTTGCAATTTAAATTCTAAGCACAACAGTCCCTCTTTTACAAACCCTTTTGCTAAATTTCTGTTACTTCAGCTTGCAGGGAGCTTTCTCCCAGCATTTTCTTTAGAGCAAGTCATTGCTTGAGCCATCATCTGGGCTGTACCTTCAGACTGATTACACTTGCAGATAATTAGAAAAGCTCTCTGAGTAATCTACATTCTGATAAATGACATCCAAGGTGACATCACCCTTATATCACTTCATTAAGTCTCCTTGAGTGTAAGGCTATCTGAATTAAAAGCTATGTTTAATAAGTGAAAACAGTCAAGTGTTGCAATTTCCTTTTCAGGCAGTGTTACACGCCAAGGAGGCAGGTCATTAAAATCACAGGCGCTCTTGGTATAGCGAATGCCTCTGTGTGTTCAAAGTACTTGCATTTCTCTTTGGCGTACACCTCTCTCTGCCACAGGTGAGTGCAGGAGCTTCTGATGGAGCGGGAAATATTCCATACCTACAGGTGGAGATGTTACTGTTGGAACCGGGAGCACCCACGGGGCGACCACGCTGATGCTTGCTGTTAGCAGAGCAACCTGCAGGCACACGGCAAACCGGCTGTCTGCACGGAGGTGGTACAGTGCAATACCATTAAAGATTCAGCACTGTATATTGGATTTCAGTAATCACTCTGAAACTTATGAACAACCTGGTTCATGACATATATACACAAAAACCTTGGTTTATCATCTGTTAATTCTAACTCCCTAAATCTCACGGCACTGGCAGTATTAGTACAACGTGGTTTTGTACAGGAAAACATCTTCAGTTGAGCTCACAACCAAAGCCCAGACCCCATCTCTGCACGTAACGTGATGTGGCCAGAGCATTCAGCACGGCTCCCTTTGCAGAATCACAGCTATGAACTACAGTACTACTCTCTTCTACAAAGACAGTTGTTCTCTTCTGTTAATCCTTTCCTATTTTTATAGGAAATTTTTACCATAATGCATGGTACTGCAAACTATTTTTTTCCAAAAATATTCCTACATTAACTTGACATGGCCTGTTACGACTGAAGTGAATCTCTCTAATATTCTTAAATGTAAGCAGCAGGTAAAACAATGAACTGTCTAACCCCAATGCTCGTTACTGTCTTGCTGTTTCAGTGATTACATTAGATTCCCCATACAGTTTCATGAAGCATCCTCAAAAGCAAACCACAGCATCCCTCAAGGGTAGAGGCAGCAACTCCAGGGCCTGGGCAAGCACAGAAGGCAGCACCTGAATGAAGTTGCACCACTTGTGCACAAGGAACCAATCCCTCTCTCCTCTGGGGAAAAGCGAGGCACTCGGCTGTTTCTGCCGTATGGGTACGTACCCCTTTGAAGCGGCCTGCATCCCAGCAGAAGTCATCTGCACAACAATATAGGTGTCCTTGGCAGCAGTACAACTTAGCAGCACTGGATCATGCCCTGAACCGTGCCAAAATAAGTCAATCGCTAGAAACAGCATTATTAATTACAGTAATGTCTTGTATTTAATCTTATCTAGAAATAAGGTGGGGTGGGCTAAATGTATTTTCATTTTCTCATTCTACAGCTTAACCATCCCAATCAGGGAAAATTTTTCATGCTTAACTAAATATAAATGACATTAATGTAGAAGTTCTGCATATAGCAATGTTTCAGAAAGTTGTGATATGAAAAGGTAAGTTGCCCAAAGGGTGCCACCTCGGAGAAGTTTTTCTTCTCGATCGCAGTCTGTGGCCACGAGCACTGAGCTGCTCCCTGCTACATGAAGCATCTTGATTTGCAGCATGAGCCTCCCACACCTCATGCCGGTGCTCAGGAGCACTATTGCTGTCAGAAACCGATGGCCTGTAGCCTAGAGAGGCAGCAACTCCAGGGCCTGGGCAAGCACAGAAGGCAGCACCTGAATGAAGTTGCACCACTTGTGCACAAGGAACCAATCCCTCTCTCCTCTGGGGAAAAGCGAGGCACTCGGCTGTTTCTGCCGTATGGGTACGTACCCCTTTGAAGCGGCCTGCATCCCAGCAGAAGTCATCTGCACAACAATATAGGTGTCCTTGGCAGCAGTACAACTTAGCAGCACTGGATCATGCCCTGAACCGTGCCAAAATAAGTCAATCGCTAGAAAGAGCATTATTACAGTAATGTCTTGTATTTAATCTTATCTAGAAATAAGGTGGGGTGGGCTAAATGTATTTTCATTTTCTCATTCTACAGCTTAACCATCCCAATCAGGGAAAATTTTTCATGCTTAACTAAATATAAATGACATTAACGTAGAAGTTCTGCATATAGCAATGTTTCAGAAAGTTGTGATATGAAAAGGTAAGTTGCCCAAAGGGTGCCACCTCGGAGAAGTTTTTCTTCTCGATCGCAGTCTGTGGCCACGAGCACTGAGCTGCTCCCTGCTACATGAAGCATCTTGATTTGCAGCATGAGCCTCCCACACCTCATGCCGGTGCTCAGGAGCACTATTGCTGTCAGAAACCGATGGCCTGTAGCCTAGTACCTCGCTGCATTACAAATTACCAATCAAATTTTAAAATAATGATGATCATTCATAATATTATTACATCAGTGGGACATTAAGACTCTCATACTAGCAATATAATTCAAAGCTAATGCTTTTTCTGATGCACAATTTACTTCAGTTTGTAGAAGAAGGAAGGAAGATGTCAGGGCACGTCATTTGGTACAATATCGAGCTATAATGCGGTATTTCAGTTCGATAGGGTAAGTTAGCCATCGAAAATAAATGTTTCTGCTGAATCTACGCCGAGGGAAGGCAGAACACCATTTTTACGTTCTCATCAGAAAGCACAGGCTGTGAGCAATTGTAATAAGGTAATAGCATAAACAATAAGGGTGATAAGACACTTTTAGAAGTTATCCTAAAGATCTTTTAGCAATTTTTAGTTAAATTCCAGCCTTTGGGGGGCATTCCAAGTGCCAGATTTAACAGCAATGTATTCCCAGCAGTAACTGCACTGTTTCTACGCACAACACTCCTACTCCCATCCATGAATTGAAACCAAAAGCAGATGATATGAAATACGGGAAGTTTTCATCAATTTTCAATCAAAGTAAAACATATCCTCCTATGAACTAATTCCCTTTGATCAAAATTCAAGGCAATTATTCAACATAACACATTTAAACTGCTGCTGTGAAAAATTAAAAGGAGAGGGAAGGAAAGGCACAGGGAAGCGAGGGCAAGGTGGACGTCAGACAGCGTTGTGAGCTTTACCGGCTGTATCACAGGAGATACGTTCTGGCTGAGGCTGATCCACTGCATTTTAAGCCCCGAGCAAATGCCCCAACCCCACACGACAGACGTTCACGCCGCAAACACAGACTCACTAGGGACCTGGCAGTTTGAGGGCAGACTCCCTACATTTCTGAGTTTTAGAAATATTTTTTCTAGACAGGTACCCTCAATCTAATACCTTAATTCATCAGAAGATCATTAAACTGGCAATGCTCCTACTGTCCCTATGGATCGTCTGGTAGCACTTGGTCAGGCCCACGTCTGAATGATTCCAAGAACACACGTCTCACCCATGTTTTCCTTTCAAAATAAAATCTTCAAGATTAATGAACTGTATCACCCCGCGTCATGACGGTGGTTCTGCTGAGAAGCGCATAACTCAGCTAAAAGTGAAATTACCCCCTCCATTACCTGGGCATCTCTGTAACTAAAAATAATTCCTTGAATCTCCATGTGATCAGAAACAGGAATTCTTGGAAAATAGGATATTTCAAATGGTGGGCAGTACCTCATAAAAGGAAGAGAGGCGTGAATCGGTCAGCCACCAGGAAATACCAGAGGTCAAACAAGACGCTACTAAAGCTCAGGAACCTCAGTCGAACTCAGACAGTGTGTTTTCTGTGTTACTGACTTGAGGCTGCAAAAATTTATTTAACCCTAATTTCTGAAATAACATTAGTGAGAACAAAAATCTGATCCACAATTTTGTGCTACCTAAAATGAAAACATTTCCCTCTGTGCTAATACTTTCCTACAGGTGCATTTCCCTCAAAAGTTAAATTCAAACGCACAGGGTTACTATACGACCGTGGGCAGATGGTGCTTTGACACAGTAGGTGGCCAGTTTGTGATTTGCGGGTGGGTGACAAGGCACAGGTTGTGGAAATATTCTCCATCTAAAACAAACTCACAAAAGACCCCCAAGCCACCCTGCACTCAAACAAAAATACTTCTGGGTCCCAGGGAAAATATTGATTTTCCTCCTGGATGGACAGCCAGAAAAAGGAAGAAATAGAAGAACGTATTTTTTTACTCTTTCCATCTACTTCTCTTGTCCTGCAAGGCTGATGCTGCTGTTCCATTTTCTCTACAACCTACAAAAATTCAATTTATTTTTTCAATCTGTCCCCAGCCAAGCTTCCTTACATCAGCTGTGCAGTCATTCCACCGCAGCCCACGTCCAGCAGCACGAGGAGGGTGAAGTGACTGAAGTTACCTGTGCATTTACGGTCTGTGTCCTCCTTCTTTGACCCACTGATGGTTAACTTGCAGTTGAAGTTCTCTTCCCAGTACTCTGCAAACCACACGTTCCTTCTGTTGTTCTCCAGGGTGCGGGAGGTAAAGTAGGCATCGAACCCTGGAGAAGGAGACAGGTAGAAAGCTGAAGTCTAGCTCACACCACACGGGAAGTACTGGAGCCTGAAAAACAAAGACTCTGTTTATATCTTCTTCAATATCCAGCACACGTTCGCATCTCTATCCACACAAGTCGACCGTGGAAAGAAAGGAAGTCCGTTGCACGTTTTATCTAATCAGCTGCATTTTGCAGCTAAATCAGTCTGCTGCTAACTGCAAGGTATAAAGCTAGGTAAGATACATGTAAAACAGATTAATATAAAAAAAAAGTATAAGCAAAAAGCATGGATTAGATATATACCAATAAGGAATGAAAATAAGTTATATGGTGCAGCTGATATTAGGCTGAGCTCAATACGACTAAATTTTGTAGTTAACCTCTCCAGACCTCCAGAGAAGGCACTTTCATCTCACTAAACCGGCCATTATCAGTGCACCTTATTGTTTTTGTAGCATGTATTTTTCCCTTAATTTCCTTTCACAAAGGTACAGATAAACTCAGAGAGCAAAACTTCTAAGAGGTAACTGTGAATCACCACGATTTACCAGGCACTTGGATTAGACATCCTGAAGTCGGCGGGGGGGAAGGTTTCCTTCCTTAGACCTGTGAGATTCAGTTTGTTACTGAAGCCACGTAGCCACAAACAGCTTGCAGCGCTGCAAGAGCAAAAATGACATACAACTCCGGTATTAAAATAATGGGGAAAAAATGGTAATTTTTTAACGGCTGATTGAAGTTCAGTAAAGATATCCGAAGCCCCGAGTCTTCTTTTTTTCAAAACACATAGTCCTCTGTATTCACTGAAAGCAGCCACATAACAACTATTGAATGGTTGTGTAGCAGTGACTAGTTCATAGTTTTCGTATGCCTCTTAACCATATCGTGCCTCTCTGTAGCACCTCACCAACTTGCCAGAAAAGAAACATGTCTTGCTTTGGCCTTCTTCATTTTTTTGCAGAAATGTATATCACTGTATATATACGTGTGTGTACATACATATATGTGTATATACATATATACGTGTAGCAATTAAAGGTATGTCTAAAGCCTTACAAATCAGGAGGACAAATAAAAAGAATTTAAACCGTGCTACAAAATTATACAGTTTATTAAATTCTGATGACAAATTAGACCTGCCACAGCGTAGGATTTTCTCTATCAAGTTTTCAAATTCTATAGTTTAAAACTGAGCCAAATATCCTTTGACAGCTGAGGCAATCTCTCTTCAAAGATCACGCTCATCTTAATGGATTTTTCTCACAATACAGCACAGAACTCTGAAACAAATACTTACTTTCCCAATAAGCAATGGTAACGTTAGACCAAAAGGAACATCGCGTTACTAACTGCCCTGTGCACTACTGCTTCACTTTGCTGTATTTAAGCATTCTTCTCTCTCTTAAAGTTGAGATAACTCCTTAGAGTCTAAGGAAACCTTTGCGCACACGAGTTATTGCAAATCAATAGACAGAGATCCTCAGCACTAGTACGATGGCAGAAATCCAGCCTTTGTTACTGCAGTGACCAAAGCTCCCACGAGAGCACAGTGTGACAACAGACTCGAGTCAGCACCCGTCCCAGCCGGGGTAAAGCTGCTCCCGACAGACACCGGTGCGTCCTCAGGAGCACGAGAGCAGGGACGAGCCGAGATCACCACCCTCCCACAACAACATTTTTATTTTATTACTATCCCAGGATACTTTTGGTTTTGCTTGGCAAACAGAAGATTTGCACAAGGACAAATATATTAACACATGTCTACGCGCTCATACATGAAATCTTTTGTCTTTTTTTTCTTTTTGTAGCCAACAGAAGCTGTATTCTCTCGCCCGTTCAGAAGGAAGAGTACATGGAGTGACACAGCCAAGTATTCTTGGCATCGAACATGGAACAGCTTTATCACCTCTGCATCAGAGGTGCCACAAAACAGGCAATCATTGTTCCCCGCCTTTAGCCAGGTTACAGACTCCAGGCAGCTGGAATCCCTGCTTAGTTTTACAGGCTTTCCCAAATCTGACAGTTCCTCTGAAGTAAGGGGGCTGTGCCCATTCTCTTCAGAGAGTTATATTAGTCTTATAGCACGCATATTCGAATCGCAGGACGTTAATCACTGTTACTTCCTAAGTCTTTCTAGTTATCCGTCTTTAGCCTGTGATGAGCAACATCAGAGCTTTTCCTTACGGAGACAGTGAAGATTCAGTATTTTTCATGTAACCTTCCAGAATTGCAATCCCAGTTCAAGTTCAGGTTACAAAAGAGTTTTTCCTTTTACTAAGAAGGTTGTTGAGGTATTCAAACTATGCAAATCTGAAACCTGGATAAAGCAGATCAATCGTAAAGAGGGCTTGAAAAATGCTGGTTGCACACTGAGAGGCTCAGAAGTAAATTACCTGGCATCCGAAAAGTGCAAGTCCACTGAAGATGCAAATCTCAGAATATCTATTTTGTCCCTTTACTTGGCTTTACAGCCTGTACTAGCATTGCAAAGGAGGGTGGAAACACAGAAGCAGCAAGCTCTTATAGATGCTAAACCAGCTCTCTATATTGCATGATCACACGGTTCCTTTTGATTTTGCAGTTAGAAATGACAGTAAATACATATTCCATTGAAAGAGAGAAAAAAGTTCCTTGCGCCATAGCCAACAATTTCTCTCACTGAAATAGGTTTGACTCAGTCTGGCACTCCACACAATGAAATTGAGTCAGAGGAAAAACATATGGCATCGTTAAATTAGCATAGCAATCCATCCACTATGGGATAAAAATAGCCACCATGTAAACAGATGTTTTCAGATAAGAAAGAAGATTAGGAGTGGGGTCAGTCTGTCTCCTCGGATTAGCTTTGCATACTATTGGCCCAACTATAATATATATTTTCCTAATTCTGAGTCTACTGTTCATGACTCGCATCCAAAGCCCACTGCTCATAAGACACAATGTACATCACCTCCAAAAATCAAACTAAAAAAAATAAGTACTGGCGTCTTCCAGAAACAGCCTGAAAGCCAATTAAAATTTTACCTGCAGCCTCACCAGAAAATACGTGTAGGTCTGTGCTGGTTTTGGCTGGCATGTTAAACCACGACAAGGCCTTTCCTGCAACAAATACATCAGGATGCTTCGGAATGATGACAAACCCTAAGCAACAAGCCATACCAATGTAATGCCGTGCTGTCTAGTTGGAAGCCGGCACCTGAAGGACCGCAATCAAACATGGAAACCTGCAAGCAAACCACCAAGATGGGGTAGGAGAAAACCTCAGTGGCGTATTTAAGTGCTACTGAATATTTGAGTCAGCTCTGTATACTCAGCATGGCTTGTCCAGCCTTCAGCGCGTTTTTTGCAGCTCAAAGTGAAAACTTTCTGGAATAAGACTGCACGAAGCTGTAGGAAAAGAGCCGACCTGTGATGGCAGAGACCCCTGATCCCCTCCTGCTGTATTTATGCTAAGGCAGGGACTTAACCTGGGTTTCCCATGTTTTAGGGAAATCATTAATAAAACTCTCCTGCCACAGCTGTTCTGCTTAATTAACGACAAGTCAGTGACTTATGAATGTTTCTGTGCACAGTCTCTAGGAAAGGACAGCACAGCATCTGAACTTCTGAGCTGAAATTTCCTAAGGAAACCATTCACGTGGATGCGTCAGAAGAAAATTTAGAAGATACTCTTAGATTTTTTAGGTACATACAAGCTAAACCTGTTTTCCTGTAAACCCATGTGTATTAGTTTTACTCATAATTAAAAGAGCATTTCAAAGAGGATATTGAGTCATAAGATCTGCATTATATATACGGCTCAGAAAGAGAAACAGTATACCTTACCAATGTGCCAAACTAACTGACCTCTGGGAAAAGTGCTCTATAACTTAATAAGATAAAAATCAATAAGTCTTGATAAAACCGTAATAGAATTCCATAAGAATTACTCTAAACCTTCACAGATTTAATAACAAATAATAACATTCTCATTGATTTTTTTAAATGATCCCTCTGCATTCTCAAGAAGGAATATAGATCCCTATTAAAAAGTGTACATTTTTTATCATTCTTTTCTAATGATCAAGACAAGCAAGCAAGTGACTGACTGACAGAGGGATGGAGTTAAGTAGCAGGCCAAGTTTCTATTAATTCCTTACTGGGTGGAAGTACTGTGCACCCACTGCCTGTTTCTAGCTGCATTGCAGATCACAGCACTACTGCTCCCGCATAGTCAAAATCCCGGAGAAGACCTCCAGAAGGCATCACCTTTGCAAATTCCCCTCCTTCCCTACATACTTAGGACCAAGAAAAGTCCCCCGTAGCCAGGACCGAGTGAGTGGAAAAAGAGTCCTACATTGCTCCATGGGAGCGAGGCCAGGAGCGTCCTCACAGGCACCATTTTTTTTCTGGTAGATATTCACAACTTTTACACAAAGTGCTGGCACACGGGCACAGCCGGAGTATGATACACCAGAGGAGCAAGCCTCGGGTGTTTAATATCATCTGGTGTAAACCTGTGCACCTTCACTGAATTACTGTCAACTGGCACAGTTCCATTAGATGAGATATTCATCCAATTTAAAGATTAGTAAAGAATGCTCAGTGGAATCTCACTGCTCCTAGAATGAGGGTTTTTCTGTTTTTTCCCCCTATATCATTCCTGAGAACACTGTCAGAGAAGTTATTTTGATTGTCTGAAATACACTGGCTGAACTGAATACACTCCACACTTGTTACTCTGTGATTTGAGCCAACAAATCACCACCATTTCATTTTTTTTCCACCATTATTTTCAGACGGGTAATTGTGCTAGATGTACTTTAAAGCAACTTTAAAAAAAAAAACCTAGAGGAAAAAATGTATTTTTCAATTAAGAGAAAATAGGATCAATTTAAAGATCTTACTATTTTTAAACTTCACATTAGATGCATGGCTAGGTAGTAACGCAAAACCCAAATACTCAATTCTCAGCAAATGCTGATCATTTGCTAGTGTTGCGATACTGCTACCACACAACCAAC